GGGTTTTCCTATTGGGACGCTTTTCATTTCGGGTTTTCCTAGTGGGACGCTTTTCATTTCGGGTTTTCCTAGTGGGACGCTTTTCATTTCGGGTTTTCCTATTGGGACACTTTTCACTTCGGGTTTTTCCATTGGGACGCTTTTCATTTCGGGTTTTCCCATCGGGACACTTTTCACTTCGGGTTTTTCCATTGGGACGCTTTTCATTTCGGGTCTTTGCATTTCTTCATTTGGGATTATTTCGCCTTTTTCTGGAAGTTTCGATTTTATAGAATCTTTTGGCTTTGGTTTATATGTGCTTTCTTCTTTTTTATTAAATTCTGTTGGATACCTATTTACCTTTTTCTCTTTTTCGGAATCTGCTGCTTTGCTGTCTTGGGCCTCTTCTTTATTATGATCATCAGCATCAGCTTCATTCAATGCAATTGGTTCCATTGCAGGTTTTCCAGACATAGCGCTTTCACGTCGTTTACGCAGAGTAGGATCGACACTAGCGAATTTGTATTCTAAAGCTTTGTTCAAAATTTGCAATTCTCTATCTTTTGCTTTGAACCATTTATTTTTATCGTCTTCCATGGACTTTGTCAATTTGTTTGATTCGACATTTTTTTCTTCAAACCATTGGTTCCTCTTGATTGTCATGTCCTTACTGAAATCTTGCCAATCTTCCTCGAAGTGTTTTACAAAAAGACGCCATGTACTATTATCTTTATATGAGGGTATTTCTCCTAGTAAGCGGGATTCATCCCTGGGCTGTTGCCCTTTGAATTTATCACGGTAGTCATGATTCGCTCCGTAATCACCAGAAAACTGAAATGGGGAGTACAAAATGAAGTGGAAACAAATTGAAGGAATGTGATTCAATTATTGCAAATAGTTACAACGCAGCGTATGTACATATGCGCGTAATGTATATGTATACTTGTACGAATGAGCACACAACGTAATATGCCTAGGTTTTGCATACAATTCGTCTGTAGTTCGCCTATCATTTTTCTATCTTACTTCAGAGCATTCCCACAGGGGAAGAAGCACATAGGTCAAGAGGAATAAGATAACGTATATACATGAGGAAAATGGTTTTCTGCTAGTATTTGATGATACATAGTCCTTATTTTTTTTTATTATACTTGAACGGGACCGTGATCTTCTTGCTTTAGTTCCTTTCATGTTACTCCTTTATTTCGTTCAGTTTTCTTCATGTATAATACATATGCTTCATATAATAAGAAATATATGTATTTTGTAAATTAATAAAAAACGAACTATAGTTTATCATCTAGTTTATTTTATGATCTACGGTCTCTTTTATCTGTATACATTTCCTTAATTTCTATAATCATTGTGAATGAAGAAGAAAATATAACAAAAATTATAGGGAAAGATGCAAAAAAGAACAGGAAAAAGAAAATATATTGACATTAAATAATATGTTCTGTCACTCCATATATACTGTCGTTAATATCGTTCAATCTGTTATATATTAAGGAGTATAAAAAAGCGCTGGTTTGGTTTAAATAATAAGATATACATATCTAATAATAATATTATTATATAGAACTTTCCTACATTGACATTTTTTTCGTTACGAAGACAAAACTATTTTTAACAGATATAATATTACATATATGAATATATAGAGGAATAGATCTATTTTTGCAAACCCAATATATTTATTTTTTTCTATTTTTTACAATTATGTTTTCTAATTTTTAATTTATCTATTTTTTTTATTTTAACAAAGCATCATTTTTTCATAAAAGAAAAGAAGGGGGATCAAATTAAGAAAAAAATATACAAATCTTGGCAATAATTAAAAATAAAATAGAAAAAAAAGTAAATATATGTATATATATGTAATTTTATAAGAACACTCTTTTATAACAATGAATCAAATTGTTAGTTCTCTTTTTAATAGTTTTTTTTTTTAATTTAGGAATTTTAATATTTCATCTTTATGTACATATCTGTACGGTATTTTTAGAAAAACAGAAACGTTTTTCTAGTAAGAGCCTTGATTTTCTCTCCTGCACGACTATTACATGCCTATTATACTATAGATATGTATCGTTAAGAAAAAAATAATAAGTATAATATAGAATAAAATGAAAATAAAAATTTTAAAAATATCTAAAATAAGTAATATATAAAAAGAGGGTGCATAATAAAGGTAAAATAACGGATTTCCTAACATTAAAAAATTTCATTTTCAATAGATGCAAAAGAATGAATAGAATAATTAATTTTCTAAATATATGTTAATAATTCTCCTTTTTTTCGTTTTATTTTTTATATCTCTCCATTTATTTTTTTTCTTCTTTATTCTAATTTAAATATGTAAATAATATTTTAATACGTTTTTGTAAAATTATGCTTTTTAATTCTCTGTCGCCCATGCCTAATTTATTTTATTTATTACTTCTAGATTTCGGTGTTTCCGGTTTTTTTTTTTTATATGTTATATTATTCTAGCAATTTTTTTCATGTTCTTAAGTATTTTTTGTATTTTATAATTGTTGTTGTTCTGTCTTTTTTGTTTTTTCTTTTTTTTTTTCTGGTTCCATTTTGTTCAGTTTTATTTTATTTCATTTTTTTTCTTTTGGTGTCTTCAGGCTGTTGTTTTCTGAATTTTAAGTTTTTTCCCTTTTCGTCTTTTTTTTTTTTTATTAATCTAGTCAAAAAATAAGCGTTCATTTTTTTCAACCTATTTGAAAAATACTCGTTTGTTCATTACCTTAGAGACATATTAAAATATTAGCAATTTTTCCCATAAAAATGACATTTGACTACCAACCTGCCCTTAATTCTTTAATAGTGATGTTTTTTAAAACGAATAGAATTTTTACATGCGAAGGGACAATCTCTTATTATTAATTGTTACACTGGCATTAGTTAATGTTGTAATTAGAATGAAATGTTTATGATCAAGTTGAATAAAAAAAAAAAAAAAGGGGGGAAATTGTAATAAGCAAATTATTCTTCGCGTTAATTGTAGGAAAGACAAGTAATTCAAAAATGTACAACTGTTTCTATATTATTAATCTGGGGTATAAATTAAATTACTGTTTATGATAAGGGGAGTAAAATGCGTATTATATAGAGAAAAATTAATTGAAAAAATGAATAAAAATGCTTCTATTGAATTCTATATGAAGTAATAAAATGTAAAGGTAATTTCGATCCGCCCCTAAGCATCAATTTTGTTTCTAATTAGCATTTCGCCAAAAAAATTAGAGCATTAAAAATACTTCATCGATTCTTAATGCTAAGAGGTATAGGAGTGAAACAGAATAATTTATAAATTTCATTCTTTTTCATAAAATAAAAAAAAGGGTTGCTTATGTAAGGCGTGTCATCTGTCTAAATTGCGCATAATGGATGATATGCCAGAGTGGTAAAATGTGAAACAGTTAATCAGCATATGTGGTAGTTCCGGCTCCTTTGCCTAGGAAGGAACTGCCGTAAGAAATTATTAACCGTGTTAAACGCACCAGGGGATCACGTAATTATGGTACTGGACTCTCCTACTTTTTTTGAATTACAAATTTTAACACAGTTTCTAAGTGGAGTACTTTAAGAATAAGCCAATAGCCCCGGCATATATAAATCCTACTGTAACTGTGTAAATAATTATGCTAATGGTATAAGAGAGAGATAGAAACAGTCTTTTAGGGATTGGGCGGAAATATAGATGCATATTATTATAAAATAAATGCATAGTTTTCTTATTTTATTGAAGATTAAAAGAAAGTACAAGAGGAAAGATGCACATACAGTTTTGTTAGAATGCAATTCATTGTGCAAGTTGCGCAATTATTCGTAGTATTAACGGGAAAGGTTTTCATCCTCTCACACATTGCAATACTGCACATTTCATATTCTATGTTCCCTTTTATTCACATGTAAAGTACACGTTTTCACTTAACGTGTTAGAAACTGAAGTGCTACATATGTACGGATGTGTGGGATTGCTTATGAGCGAACTGAACAGATAAATTATAAAAAGCTGTGCAATGTAAAGTAACACAGGGATTATAATCATTAGTGATTATTTATATTTTGAATGACAGTAAAACCAGCAACAATGTAGACACCTAACTGTTAAAAGTAATAATTTAGGATGCAAATGTTTTTATCCGTATATTTATAATAAATATAAATTAGAAAAAAAAAAATAAAAAAAATAAGTTACGTTTATATTCATGATTTTAGGGAGGACTCCTCCTTTCTAAGTATGAGAGTGTAGAAAATAACGAGTAATAAACGGTTCATCATAAATCCCCACATATATGTGTAAGCCGTTACACGGATGCTTTTAAGATCTAATGAGATGTAATCCATATTAGACAACATAACACTGTTTTCCGCAGTCCAACGTTGCTTCATATGAGTGCCGAATCACAGAAATATGTAAATATTATATTACATGCATAATGGCTACATCGAAGCGAGAATGTCCTGAATAGTTCCACAGTTTATTGCACATCTGATTAAGATATAATTCTTGCAAATTATGGAAAACTATTCAAACTCCAGTAGTAGAAGGGTACGGTTCTACATTGAATGTATTTTGTACGAATTAAAAACAAATAATATGTTGTCATAAGGCAATTTCATTGTATTGGCCTTACCTTATTAGCAGAGAAGTATCCTTTCCTTCTGTGTGTGGATGCATCTCTGGGAAAGGAAAAAATGTAAACCGTTATGTTAATAATTCTATTGCTGAAAAGTCTCATGGAAATGCGGCCGAAATGGTGGCATATTACTATAAATATATCTGTGTGCTTTTATTTTTTCGTGGGATTGAACTTTTGACGATCACCTCTTCTGGTGTTATCATGGGATGCTTAAGTGAGGGGGTAGTAATGGTAAAGGATTTATCTGAATCGGATTAACATAAGAAGGTGTAGGAATTTTCTGAAGAATATATATATTGTAAAAGTAATAGCGTATGTGACAAGAAGTCGTTATTTACGTCATCGATGGAGGATTCATTTCTGCGTTATTTGTATTGGTCACTTTCGTGATACATACGGTTATTATTATGGTTTCTACTTGGTTATAGCTTTTTACGAAATTCTATAATTATGAACCGTTGTGTCACTCGAATTTTTAATTCGCTTTTGTTTAATTACAAATCGTGAGGAACAAATGAAGGGGTCAGTGGATCCACCTGCAGGAATGACTAAGTGGGAGAGCAGACACGTCGTAGCACGTATTTCTTTCTAAAAATAGGTTTGAGATTCTAGGATTTTAACTGTTTCATATTTATATAGATAATTCTTGGGCAGACTCCTAGGGGATATTACGACATATCGCTTTTAGGTATGATTCAGAAAAGGTCTAGATACCTCTATATAAAAAAAAAAGTCTGTTAATCCTTGTCAGTCATTTGCACAAATCTGTTGTAATAAATATGCGTACAAATGAGAGGTAGCCAATAATAAAAGCATAAGGGGTACTTTTAAGAAGGGAAAGTATAAGTGCGTAAAGGCTTATGCGAATATGTATGTCTATATCTGTGTATGAAATATTTATCTTTCTATATGTAGAACAGTAAGAAGGATGAGTAGATAAATTTTTTTTCACAAATTTGGTATTGGAGTAGTAAAGATATTAGCATAAAGGGAGATAATGGTATGTATGTATTTTTTTTTCTTTTTTTTTTTCTTCTTTTCTTAATTTTAACTCCCCGAGGAGAAAAATGATCAAGGGTAAAAAAGGTAAATATTTCTTCAAAATATTCATTTGTTTCAAATGATATAAAACAGAAAAAAAGAAGGAAGTGGACAATTTTATTCTTATTATATTAGTTGTTATTGATAAAAATATACAATGAGGTGTGAGGCATCATGTAAAGTACGTATATTAACCTGAGGATGCGCCGATTATGAGGAACTCACATGCTAAAGCATACATATTGTTTATATTTCTATGAATAATCGTAGACTTATTCTTTTATGAAATTCTTTCATGGAGTTTTTTAAGGACCCTTTGGAATCCTGTTCTTTTTTTTGTCTTAAAGTTGTCCATCAATTTCTAGAATCTTTTATAAAATTAACAAATTCCCCACGTTATTGTGTTCCTGATTTAATTATGTCTCTAAATTGTTTATATGCACTGTCTTCAAATCGAAGGACAGTTGACATTATGGAAGTCTGGACTACCATTCACTCTAGCGTTTTATATCTTTCTGTGGTAGTATGTTCTTTTGCTACCTTATCGGCATAAATAATTAAAAAATTTTCTAGGTTATCATATTTTTTTTCTCTCAAGGGTCATCATAAGATTAAATATTTGTATCATTTCTGATATGTGAACAGTTTCATTTAAACTGTTAACTAGATCACTTATCATATGTTCGGTTAAGTGTTCTTCATTTTTTGAATGGGAAGAATCATCGTCATCTGTTGATTCCTCAGAAATTGCCTCACCTGCAGTAATATTCATTATTTCACATGGACTGTCATCTTCGGGATCATTATTTATATTACTGCTTCCTTCCTGGGAACCATATGCGAAATCCCTTGTATATTGGTTCTTAAATAAAGTGACAGTAGAATCGTCCTCATTTATATTGTCACTTGATGAATACGGGTCTCCCATAATAGATTCATTATCACTTTCATAGATACTTGAAGCTTCACTTCCATAGACACTTAGAGTTTCACTTTCGTAGACATTTGGAGCTTCACTTCCATAGACACTTAGAGTTTCACTTTCGTAGACATTTGGAGCTTCACTTCCATAGAGACTTAGAGCTTCATTTTCGTAGACACTTGGAGCCATACTTCCATAAAAACTTGCAGCTTCATCATCAATGTTAAGACCAAAGATATTTATCTACTTGGCTACCATAAATATCATATTTATCATTAGAAAAGTAGCAGGAATTTGGAGCTATATCTGCTGTAGATTCTGTGCTGTTACCCCTGCGTGAAGCGCTTTTTCGGGAACTACCTGTGCTATTCGTCCTGATACTTATGCGTGATTTTGTACGATGGAATTCGCTTAAATTCCTTGATCATCTACTAGTGCATTGTAATTTAAGGGTTCCTGCTTGTTCATGAGTGTGATTATTCTGTAAAGGTGTTTACATGTGAAGTTTGAAAAGTGAACACGACGATGAAGTATGTGCGGGGATGATGACTTTTACAAACGTGGAAGAAATATCTTAAATAGACGCCATAGTACGATCGACAAAGAACATTGAATAGTAGAACAAATTAAATAAAGAATAATCGAAACTGGAAAGGACGATATATTTCTAACTTTGCATTAATTCTTACTTGTAACAATAGGGATAACAGAACTATAAGCGGTATATGTGTTGGTTTCAATAATGTAAAATCCCCTGAGGACTTTCTAATAGAAATTTCTCCTACACCTCCTAGGGGATTCCAAAAGTAATTCTTATTCCCATTCTTTTTATTGGAAGGTGCGTAATTCACTGGAAAATTAATAGTTCGCGCGCTAAGACTCTCGATACTTAACGGACATATATATACATGTATATGTTTCCTTCTCTAAAGGGAATAGCTTCAGTAGGGAGACAACAATTAGTTATTATTCTTATATATTCATGTTGGTGTTCTATAGTCAAAATATGCTTATCCCATGTATTATTTATATGTATATATATATTTTCCCATCTATCTGCAATTATGTTGATTCAGCTTATTCAAAGAGGTGTTAAGATTTTCATTCTGTTAGGTATTTTTTCATGTATGTAAGAAAAGGAACAAAGAAAAAAAAGAACTAGATAGATGGATAAATCTTTATAGATAAAATTTTATTTACAATCTGGTAGAAAAATTGCTAATTATCAGAAAAAGGATCTATTAGAAATGTATATCTATTGATTAATTTATTTGAATTTCTCCTTACGTAGTTAGTCATCAATTCCTCATTTTGAAAGCTTAGTTTTAATGTAGCAATATTGGTTAATAAGAAAAAAAAAGTATACATCGTTATCTTTAGAAAAATGCAATTAAATTTTTTACATTACACAATAATCAGTCAGCATATTTTATAGGAAGCATGGGAAAAATTCGAAAATGGTCACCACCACTTTTTTATATAAGTATACTTTATACGCTTCGGGCTTAAAGTAGTATTAAGATTTGTCACTAAC